AATGCATTCCCTTTTTGGATTTTTTTTCTTTTTTTTTGCTTCAAAACGTGACCGTGAATCGTCGCTGGGTTCCTATTGAAGGGAGGGGGGAGGAGAGGGGTTAATATTCCCATATCTGGATACAGAGATAAATGCTCATTATGGGTATTTAGCGCGGTAACGCAAAACGAACTCGGAGATGTTGAGCAAAGCCCGGTTTTTATTTCTCCATTGATCTTAAAGGAATTAATTATATAAAATTGATTATTATTTTGGAGGAATTTAAAAACCAAATTTACACTATTTGACAGGTGAAAGCGAAATACGAGAATATGCCACCAATCGAGCATTTTCACCGGGACCATTACGCGCAGTATTTCCCGGAAGTGCACCGGGATGTTCGCCTGCCAATTACCCGTTTCACAATCGGTTGGGGTAGCACAAATACACCGGAACATTTCGAGGAATTGAAAGAGCTTTTCAAGGATTATCGATGCAGACCTGTTCCGGAACATATGAGAAAGTGATTGGAAGCCAGCTGAGAAAAATTCTAATGTTATTAGGGATTGTATGTAAAAAATCATAGTAAAATTTATGATTGCTGTTGTTTTGATGTGCTTTTTTTACTCGGTTCACTGCCGAAAAATATCGCAATTTTTGTTTTGTTTTTTTCCTCGAATATCGCTATTTTCATTTTTTCAAAAATATCGTGATTTTTATTCTTGAAAAAATTTCACAATTTTTTTTTTATTTTGCAGGGGAATTAGTGCATGAGCAGTTTTTGCACTATTTCGTGCGCTGTAGCAAGATCACAAGGAATCATAGTAGCTAGAATTTGTGATATACTGGCCTTCGAAGTTCGGGAAGTTAATTGTGCAGCTATGTGGCATGGAGTGTGAATTTCATCAGAGAAATTATGGATAGACAGAAAAATAGAGTGGATTTACTACGGTGGTGCAATGAATGAATGTTTTTGATGCGTTCTAGGGTAGCGGGAGTGTTTTCTGATGATCTTTGGAATAAAATTAAAATAGGTTATCCAAATTTTGACGCATTTTGAGGGGAATTTTGTTAAAATTAGAAAGAATCTCTAAAACTCGCTTGGAAATTCCACTCTAATTGTTTTGGGAATTTTTAAGATGCAAACTATGAAAGTTTGTTTGGCCCTGTAGGCTCGCCGATGTGAGGGACACAGTCGAATATTGACAGTTGTGGGAAAGCAGGAAGTGCCAATTTAGATACCCAGATAAGCAAGCCTGTATGTGCATTAGCTGTTGTCCTGTCTGTGTTTCATCTCTGAATTGTAAACACAGATGGCAGAGCCGGTGCGTAATTCTGTTCGTGCGCTGTGTTTACAGATCGTTCTGCATATTTTCAGCGTTTCTTCAGAAGTGGATAACATCAACGTTTCGGCCAGTGGCGCTTGATATCTATTGGTAAAAAGGACAATCACTAAGGTTCGTTATTTTGAGAATGTGAATTGTGCGAAATGGGTGGATGGGAGAGAGCGGAGGGGGTGAGTTGTGTTTTTTAAATCATTGAGTACATGTGCTTTTTTTGGGTTTTTTCGAAATTTCACAAAAAATGGATTTTCTTTAAATTTTTTTCGAATTTTCACAAAAAATGGACTTTTCTGGAAATAGTGCAGAAGTAAATCTAGGTGGAGGCGAAGGTTTTTAAATCATTGACTATATGTGCTTTTTTGAGGCTTTTTCCGAAACTTCACAAAAATGGATTTTCTCTGAATTATAACTTTTTTGGGGAAAGTAAAGAGGTCAATTTGGGAGGAGGTGAAGATTTTAAAATCATTGAATATATGTGCTTTTTGGGGCTTTTTCCGAAACTTCACGAAAAATGGATTTTCTCTAAATTATAAGTTTTTTGAGAATAGTGGATAAGTAAATCTGGATGAAGGCGAAAACACAGGGCTAGGGGAAGACAGAGTGCGGTGAATAGAAGTTTAAGAGAAGCGCTTGGTGCTGGAGCAGCAGTAAATTTACGAATATATTTTAATCGTTAGATTTTTTTAGATTTTTGAATAATTAAAGTTTTTAGATTTTTGGGTAATTAAAGTTGGTATCTGTGAAAGAACAATGAATTCGCTGGATGGATTTGTGAAACTGGTCATGTCACATACGGCCTCACGTAAGTGCATTTTTAAATTTTTAAGCATTTTTGGTCCCTTGTCTGTTTTTTTCAATTATTTTAGATGTCCTCAGTAGGCTTTTAGTCCCCCTTATCTCTTCGCTTTTTCGTTTTAAACAGCTTCATAGTGGATAAGGCGATAAAATTTGAGATGGAATTTTAGAGTTATGGCGTGAATTGGCCGATATTCATCGAAAATCTATGCACGATTTGCTGGAGCGCAATGTGGCGCATCTGGATAATGTACTTGAAACGCTGAGCGTAGACAAATATTCCATTTCGGTTGTCTCGATTCTGGCTGCGAAAATGAACCAGCCATACACAGAAGCAACAAAAGAGAGGGTGAGTGGTAGAAGTTTCGAAATGCCCGCAAATTATGGCTTTTTGTTAGAAATCACATAAGGAACAATTGCGTCACTATGATGCAACATCTCTGGTCCCTGGTTCAATCTTTGGACACCCTACCGTGTTAAAGTTTTGCAGTTTGAGTGATCTGTGACCACTGGAGTATAAAAGCATCCCTCCCCATCTCCGGGATCCAGAGTCGCTCCATCTTATTGCATAACCCTGTTCTAGGGGGCACATCGACACACATGTACCGCTGCCAATCATAGGCTGGTCCAGAGTGGCTTCCTGGGGAAACGGGGCACGACTTGGGAGGGGAGAGGGAGAAAGTGGGGCTTGTGATCTAGCAACGACGGGGAGGAGGGGGAATAGGCCTACTGATGCGGGGACGAGCTAG